AAAAAAAAATAAAAATAAAAAATAAAAATAAACCCCCAACATCCAGAGTCAGACATGGTTAACATTTTGGGTTATCTTTTTTTTTTTTAATTTTTTTAATGTTTATTCACTTTTGAGAGACAGAGCGTGAGTGGGGGAGGGACAGAGAGAGAGGGAGACACAGAATCCGAAGCGGGCTCCAGGCTCCGAGCTGTCAGCACAGAGCCCGATGCGGGGCTCGAACCCACGAACTGTGAGATCACGACCTGAGCTGAAGTCAGACGCTTAACTGACTGAGCACCCGGGCCCCCCTCGGGTTATCTTTACACAAGTGTCATTTTAAAACAATGTCGTACAGTGGATGCCGCTGTATGCCCTCCTTTCATTCCCTGGCAAGCTGACTGGCGGGAAGGGCCTTTTACATGCCGCTGGACAACGTGTTGATTGGCAATGCTTTCAGCAGGCTATTTGGCATGAGTATCAAGAATATTTTCAAATCATCACCCTTCAGCCCACTAACTCCGTTTCTAGGAGTCTGTCTTCAAAGAAAAATCAGATGCATGCAAAAATTTATTTACAGAGACTTTCGTTTCGGTGTCGTTTACCAGAGCCAAAATTATCAACCTCGTAAATGTACAAAATGTATGGGGAGTGTTGTTTAATAAACCGTGGTTATTTGTGAGACGGAATACCCCGTGATCGTCAAAAATCACGTTTTCGAAGAATGTGTGCTGGCGGTGAAAATGTTCCTTTTGACAGTCCCTCCGCGCCCCGGGACGCTTGTCTTATAGCAACATCCTTCTTCTGATTCTACTGTAAGCCTTCGGGATGCTGTGGGACCAGTGGTCTTTCCTCTCTACATCCCCCGCAGCATTCATTCTCTGTACCAAATGTTTTGGTAGTTTGCTTTTTTTTTTAATGTTTATTTATTTTTGAGAGACAGAGCATGAGCAGGGGAGGGACAGAGAGAGAGGGAGACACAATCCAAAGCAGGCTCCAGGCTCTGAGCTGTCAGCACAGAGCCCGACACGGGGCTCGAACCCACAGACCGCGAGATCGTGACCGGAGCCAAAGTCGGAGGCTCAACCAACTGAGCCACCCAGGCGCCCCGACAGTTTGCTCTTTTTATGACTATTTATTACGTATTACTTCCACTTGCTGTCTTTCATGGGTGTGTATTAGGAACGCATGTCACGGGTCCATGTGTGCATGGATGTGCATGTACATGGATGTGTAAGACGGACAGAGAACTCAGGACAGTAAACCCACTGAGGGCATGGGCCACGAGCTCCACATCTCTGTCAGTTCTTCAGTTTCGGCTTGTCTAAATCCCTCTAAACTCCTCTTCCTCGATTCTGTTCCAATTCCACAAATCGGTGTTTGAGGATATACAGTAAAGCATTGGATTGCGAGGAACTCGTTCTGGGAGTCTTCTGCAAGACGAGCAAACATTTCTAATGACTTGATAAACGAGCGATGTCTTGCAACACGAGTAGTATGTGAGGCCGAGGGTCACATGATCACAACTGAGCCAATGATTCTTGAAATTCACTTTGATATACAAGTGCTTAGGATTACCAGCGTGTTTCTGGAATGGATTATGCTCGCAAACCAAGATTTTCCTTGTACTTCCCTCCCCAAATAGGCTCTCCTTCCTGCGTTCCCAATTGCTATGATGGTATCTCCTTTGGGCAGTCAGATTCAAATTTCCGGAGCCACTGGCCATCTCATCCTAACACCGTTGGGTTTTTTTTTTTTTTTTAAGTCTTTGCATGTGGCCTTCCACTCCCGAGGTTGGCATGCCAGACAGTGAACCTATCACTTCCCTCCAGAACAGCTAACTCTCTTCGCTGGGCCATCCACTTACAGCCTCTCGTCCCTTCAAACTACCCTGTGTCCAACCACTCATCTAAGTTATTTTTATCCTGTCACCTCCACCCAGAAGCTTTCAGTGGCCACTTTTAAATGGCCATTATTAAAGTAAGTGCTAATTTATCCTGGCACATAGGTCCCTCTTTAATTCAATCCCAACCCATCCACCTTGTTTTTTAAATATGAAACAACTTCTTACTTGATATCCCTGCCTCCTGTCAAAGGAGGCACCAATCCCCGGATGCATCCTATGCACCGATCCCCGGATGCATCCTATATTCTCACAACTTCTCCTCTTGCCAGCTGGGCCATTTTGGGTAATTTGCACGACCTCTTCAATCTCAGCCCCTCATCTACAAAGTGGGCATAATACTAACAATATCTTCTCTAAAGGACTGTGGTGAGAACAAAGCAGATGAATGAATGCGACAACGGTCATTGATGTGTTCAGTTTCACCACCGGGACAGAGGCTGGCAGGACAGCCCCCAGCTGCATCAGGGAGCATCAGCTGAGGTGGGTCCCTAAGGCTGGAGGATCTGTTTCCAAGATGGCTCCCTCATGGGGCTGGCCAGGTGGTGTTATTGGCAGAAACCCGACCGGGGCTATAGTCCCGGAGCCCAGATGATCCTCCACTTGGACTTTCCATGTGGTCTCTTGTCAACTGGGTTCTAAGAGAGAGGCGGAAATTGGCAGTCTTCTTAAACGGTAGGCATGGAACTAACTAGCACAGCGTAGCCTCCATCATACGTATCTGTTAAAGCAGTCACGGGCCAGCCCAGACCCACGGTGGTGAAGGCATAGACGCCACCTCTCCAGGAGGGTGAGGTGCGTGCCTACTGGGGAGGCAAGAAGCCGCGGAAGCCGTCTCTTGAGACGAGATACCACCGTCCGGTCTTTGCGATCCCATCTCGTCTAGTGGAGACACTCAACAGATATTAAACAATTCCTCAACTCTTATTTTAATTCCAATGTTCTTACCACAGGTTATATTAATTTCAGGTGTATAATATAGCCGTCCAACAATTCCGCGTCTCACGCAGTGCTCATCACGACAGGTGCACTCTCGATCGCTTTCACCTGTTTCACCCATTCCCCGCCCCCACCCGCCCTCTGGTGACCAGCTGTTTGTTCTCTAGAGTTAAGAGTCTGTTTTTTGGGTCGTCTCTCTCTCTCTCTTTTTTCTCTTCCTGCGCTCATTTGTTTTGTGTCTTAAATTCCACGTGGGAGTGAGATCACGGGGCTTGTCTTCACGATTACTGAACCCTGAAGGCCTGTACCTTGCGTCTGTCTGTCAAACAATCACTTGGATTGCTGTCTGGAATTGTGAGTTGACTTTTCCCCTGGGTTCCGGTTAGTGAGGACATTCCAGCTACACAGTAAGCCCTTTGAGGGCCAGGCTCCCGGCTACAAGATACATTTTTGCATTCCGCCCACCAGAGATGTCCGCGGAGTTAAGTGCCATAAACGTGCAACACTTGATTTATTTTCTCCTGACAGCCCCAGTGCTGAGAAGGGAACCTAAGAGCCGCTTTTACTGAATTTTTGTACAACACCAGACTCCCTAGGCTCCAGGGAAAATTCAGAGAAACAGTCCCTTTGTTCTCCAGCCCAGTGCAGAGCCCGGCCCAGAACCTTCCACAGGGGGAAGTTCAGGGAGGAGGCTGCAGACTGGAGGGCGTGTGGAGGAAATTCCATTCTAGACCCTCATTTCCGAAACTGCTCTGTGATTAGCCCGGCTTTGTGCTGGCCCAGTCCAGAGGCCGGGCCCCTAGGTCATAAAAGCACCAGGAAAATACAAACGCAGCCTCTTTACAGCCTCAAACAGGAGGTTAAAGGATTTGCTTTGTTGTTTGTTTATCTCTCAGACTGAAGCCAATTATTCCTATTACTTTTTTTTTTTTGTAACTTCACTACAGAAACTTAAGTTCATTTTAAGTATTTTTAAGTTCATTTCTTCTCAAAAAAAGGGCCTCTGCCACACATTTTTTTTTTTCCTTTGGTTCCAAGGCCTCAAGCCAGGTCTCGGTGACAGGGAGGGCAGGCCTGGGGTCACATGTCAGAGGTCAGGGGCCCCCTGATTGTTCCCAAATGTGCTTCCGAGTAACCATAGATTTGAACTTTGCATTGTTGTGGGGGCCCTGGGGAGAGAGAGGCCCTGGGGGAGGAGAGAGACCCTGGGGGAGGCCATCTCGGCAGTTCAAAGGCGGCCTGCTCCGGTTTCACTTGGCCCACTGTTTCCATCCCTGAGTCCTCCCGAACCCAATCCCGGTGGGGCTGCCGTGGGTGGGGGTGGGGTGGCACTCGGGACGGACATTCCGCGTAACCCAAAGCCGCACATCTCACAGACTGATGGTGCCTTCAGAGCCGGAAACACTCAGGATTAGCGTCAGAGGCTGAAAATTCCCCTGACTGCTTCCTCAAGTCCCAGAACGCTTGCCCCAAAGCCGGTAAAGGTTGCTCCTCCGCCCAGAACCAACCCCTCGGTCCCCACTTCCCGGCCCAGGCAGGGTTCTTTGTAAAGTGTAGCTAAACGCAGGGCACTGAGGTTCAGAAAATGAACCCCAATGCTGGCTTTACCCAAGGGTAGTGGGTGTTTGCTAGATCACACAAGCTGAAAGGAGGTAAAAGATCCCAGACCATCCCCCCCAAAACAAGTGTCTCCACTGATACCTGAAAATCTACCATAACCAGGACGTAAATTTATATCTGTTGATATGGAAGAGTGTATAAGAGATATTGTTAAGTGCCGAACACAAGCTACAGCTACTGTATGGCCCCAACTATGTAGGAGATACACACGGGAGCAAAGTCAAAGATGACACGTCAAAATGTTGGTAGTCGTACCCCTGACGGGTGGGACTTCGAGTGATTTTTTTTTTTTTCCTTCTATTTTTCTGCATTTTAGAATTACACCACCCGTGTATAGACGAGGAAACCGAATGTTCATGAATCATTTCTTTAGTTCAGTGTTTTTTCAAATTGTGGTTAGAAGGAACCAGCGTCAGACTCGGGAAGCTCGCTGAACAGGAAGGTCCCTACGTGTCAGTCGGACCTACTGAGCCCGAGTCTGGAGAGGCGGCCTGACCGACAGCATTGGAAGCACCCTCCTCCAGGCCATTGTCAGGGAATGGTCCACCCAGGCGGATGTTTGCTTTGCCCAAAGGGTTCTGGCTCCGGCTGGTGAAGCATTCCAGGTGTGACCACTCAACCCCACGGCCCGGCTCCCTTTCCTTGCCCCCTTTCCCCCTCTCCGCCTCCTTTCTCTCCGACCTCAGGAGCCAGAAAGGGCCTATCCGCCCAAACGGAGCTCGACCAAACCCTGGCTCCTCCCCTTGCCCTTGACCAACAAGAGCCCACAGACCGAGCCTCTCTCGGTATCATCCTCCCCTCCTTCCCTTGACGTGGTCTTCTCTTGGCCTCACTTCCCTTTTTTTTTTTTGACCTCAAGGGCTGACGGCACAAGCTGATTTGCATAAGTGCCAAAGTCAAGTCAAACTGAAGCTGTAAACCAAACGAAGTAATTATGCCAGCGGGCCGCGTGGAGCACGGAAGCATCTCGGTGAGCCTGACCCGCCTCCCTGATAGACACGTGATCGTAGCTTCATTACTGACCCTCTCTAGTCTTAGTTTCCTCCACTGTAACATGGGGAGAGTCAAACCTACCTCACAGAGGGGTCGTTCCAGGGTTTAAGGAATAAGGTCATGTGTATATGCAGAGGGCCCGGTGCATGGCAACAGGTACCCAACAAAAGTTGCTATTACGGGGCGCCTGGGTGGCTCAGTCGGTTAAGCGTCCGACTTCGGCTCAGGGCATGATCTCACAGTTGGCAGGTTCGAGCCCTGGGGCCGGCTCCGTGCTCACACCTCAGAGCCTGGAGCCTGCTTCGGATTCTGTGTCTCCCTCTCTCTGCTCCTCCCCAACTCATGCTCTCTCTCTCTCTCTCTCTCAAAAATAAATAAACATGTAAAAAAATTTAAAAAAAAAATGTTGCTATTGCCAACCTACCCTAAAGAACTCTCGTAGAAAGTCTGAGACAGGCTTCCCAAACTCCCCGGGGAACTGAGAAATAAAGCACAGTATTATAGTCTTCCCTCCCAGATATTTCAAATTCATCCCTCTAAGTGAGGCCCCAAACTGACACTTAGCAATTACACCCGGTGATTTTTTTTTTTTTAATTTTTTTTTTTCAACGTTTATTTATTTTTGGGACAGAGAGACACAGAGCATGAACTGGGGAGGGGCAGAGAGAGAGGGAGACACAGAATCGGAAGCAGGCTCCGGGCTCTGGGCTCGGGGCCATCAGCCCAGAGCCTGACGCGGGGCTCGAACTCCCGGACCGCGAGATCGTGACCTGGCTGAAGTCGGACGCTTAACCGACTGCGCCACCCAGGCGCTCCTACACCCGGTGATTCTGATCGCACCTTGCATGCAGATAGTCTCCGATCACACGTGGAGGAACACGAGTCTAGGGTTTTCATCAGCAAAACACAGACAACGGCCGTTACCAGCTCCCGTGCTTAGGCAGTTCACGCTTGAGTAGTCAACCATCCACACTGCACAGCACACGGGTCGGCTGAGCTTTGGCGGATCGAAGCTGGGCCCAGCCTGCCATGGTTCCAGGCTGGGGTCTGGGTCCAGGTCTGATCCACACATCTTTCATTTTTCTTGGACCAGCAGGTGCCCCAGGCATGTTCTCCCGATGCCACACTTCTAACATTCCACCAGCCAAACAAGCACATGGCTCCCAAAGTCAGTGGGGAGAGGGGCAGGTATTATTTTCTGCCTCAGAGATGTGAATGAAAAATAAAGCCTTGCTTCTCTAAGCCAGGAATCCACAAATCGGCCCCCAGTCTGTTTTCGTTTGCTCCACAAGCTAAGACTGACTTTTACATTTTTTAGGAGTTGTAAAGAACAACAAAGTGCTTAGGAACAGAAACCGTATGTGGTCCACACAGTCTGTTTACTATCTGGCCCTTTAAGGAAAAAGTTGGTTGATTTGTACTGTAAGCCATCAAAATGTCAAGTGTTCTTTTGTTACACAGCGTTACTGCATATAGGTGAACAATGTCATATTTTTGTTTGTTTTTAAATTAAGAGGGATTTCGTCTGACTCTTGACCTCAGGGTTGTGAGTTCGAGCCCCATGTTGGATGTAGAGATTGCATAAAAACATACAAAAACAAAAAACACTACAACTATAAATTAAGAGGTATTTAAAATGTTTCTAAGCCATGGGGCAGGAGGGATGGAGAAGAAGGAGGGGAATCATTGAAAATACAGAAGAGGAGTGCCTGGGTTCCTCAGTCAGTTGAGCATCCAACTCTTTTTTTTTTTTTTTTTTTAACGTTTATTTTATTTTTGGGACAGAGAGAGACAGAGCATGAACGGGGGAGGAGCAGAGAGAGAGGGAGACACAGAATCGGAAGCAGGCTCCAGGCTCTGAGCCATCAGCCCAGAGCCTGATGCGGGGCTCGAACTCACGGACCGCGAGATCGTGACCTGGCTGAAGTCGGACGCTTAACCGACTGCGCCACCCAGGCGCCCGAGCATCCAACTCTTGATTTCACCTCAGGTCAGGATCTCACAGTTGTGGGATGGAGTCCTGGGATATTCTCTCTCTCTCTCTCTCTCTCTCTCTCTCTCTCTCTCTCTCTCTCTCTCAAAAATAAATAAAGATTTAAAACCAAGAAAGAGGGGCACCTGGATGGCTCAGTCAGTTAAGCATCCAACTTCGGCTCAGGTCAGGACCTCATAATTCGTGGGTTCGAGCCCTGTGCTGACAGCTCAGAGCCTGGAGCCTGCCTCGGATTCTGTCACCCTCTCTCTCTGCCCACCCCCCCCCACCCCATTCATGCTCTATCTGTGTCAAAAATGAATAAACGTTGAAAAAACAATTTTTTCAATTAAGAAAAAAATAAAACCGAAAAAGAAAACACAGAAGAAAGGAAAATTAAAGAAAGGAGAATGGGTCTTGGAAGAGAAGGTTCCTTAAGGAGGAAGGACGATGGTGAAAATGGGCTGGGATCTGGTCAAGTGGAGAGGGTCGGGTGGGAGGGGTAGTATCGAGGTATGAAGTGATGGTCAAGGAGGAAGAGGACAAGACAGGCTTATCCAGGGGTAGGAATACCCAGCTACTGGGTGTCAGAGCAAATCTGCTGAAGAGAATCCTGGTGTCCTTGTAATAGAGTGCCGAGGGCTTTCCAGTGGACCTTCCAGGAATTATCAGACTGTGGGGATGTGCACCTTGGATTCTTTCTGACTGCCTAAGCTATGTAACAAATCCATAGGGAAAGAAGTTAAGTTGTGGAAAACTGACACGACAATTTTCCCGTCCGTAGGGATGCGCAGAATCCCATTCATGGCAGCGCGGAGGAATCGTGTGCTGTGGAGAACAAACATCTCTGTGAGTCAAATCCCCATCCGAATCGGTTTCAACATCTTACTGACGTCCACACTGACAGTGGATGAGTTAAATGGAATCTTTTGACGCACGTCTATTTCATAGCTATGAAAGTCATTATTTTACCATTTAAGACGATTCTCTTTTAGCAGATATCTAACGTATCTCACTTGACAGTCTCTACGGCCCTGTGAGGCCATTACCGCTGTCATTGTCATACCCCCATTTTGAGGATGACACCACTGAGAAACTAAGAGCTCAAGGTCACGCTAGCAGAGAGTGGCAGAGCAAGGCAGGAATTTCGGGGTCTTCTGATTCTGATTTGGAGTCTTCTGATCTCCTATTCTTTCCACTGTTGAGTTAAACCAAAAAAGAAAGTGGCACCCCATCACATTATTCATTTGCTTGTCATCGATGAGCACAGGAGCTGTGACTTAGCAAGCAAACGGTCCTTGCATTTTGGGTCGTGATGGTTCGCTTGCTGATGCGGGGAAAGAAGCCCCAACCATGTAACTGCTTGCCCTGCCTGAAGGGGGCAGCACTTGAACTCAATGGGACCGCAGGCGAGTGGTTACCAGCGCCGAGAGGCAACTGGTCTCTACTGACTCTTTTCGTCCCTAACAGATCATCAAGTCAAAATTCTCAATAGCTCAGTGTCTCACAAGGACTTTCCAAAGTCTTATTGTTTTATTTCAGCCACAAATAAATGCTCCCCCGCAGGTATGTTAGCATTTCGGGGGTGACTTCGCTCCGAAGCCTCTGCGTTTTTCTCAGCAGGATCCCTTGCTTTCCAACATTCCGTGAACACCTAGGGTGGATGGGCTAGTTACAAATGTCACCTGCGTCACAGTCCCTAAGCCCTGTAGCCAGTCCGTGCTTGTTTCCCAGAGAAGGATAATAACGTTAGCGATACAAATATGAAAACAAACAAAACGGGATCTCCCCCTGGGGTAGTTGAGTCTGAGGCAGAGACTTTCAGGCAAACCGGCAATTACGACCCAACACGGCCATCAAGAGTTGGTGAGAGCGTGGAGAAACCAGCCCCAGCGTGTTGGAGAGGATCATGGAAAGTTTAATGGTGCTAGGGTTCGCACTGACACTTGGAGGATAAGCAGGAATTTTCCTGGAAGAGGGAGGAGGAGGTGCCCAGAAGCTTCTAGACAGAAGTGCAGGTACAGGGTGTCTAGGAGGCAGAAAACAGTCCGGAGTGGCTTACAGGAGGCAGTACGTAGGGAAGAATTCCAAATATGAAACCAAACAGGTGGTCAGGGACAAGTCATGGCAGACCACGACGAGGAAACTTGCCTGCAGGCAACAACAGAGATTGTTGTTTATTTCTTCGTGGTCCGAGGTCTCCGGTCCTTTACCATGATCTCTTAGATTGGGAAGGAAGAGGGCGAATGTCCTGCGACTCTGAAGGAGATATGCACCGTCATGGTAAAAGCAAAGTGTTAACGCGGCAAATTACCCGGCAGAAGCCAGTAGGTGTCTTTGCCCGCCTTTTACCGAGGTCTTTGGAGGAGCTGACTGGAAGGACGCAAATGACTCCCTTGGAAAGTGATGCTTCTGGGGACCTCTCAGGGCCACACTTAATCGCGAAGTCCCCTTCCCTCTCCCCACGTGCCACGGCCCAACCCCCACCCATCTCTGCCCTCCCCACCTCTCACCCTTCAGAGAAGGCAGAAGTCTGCAGTCGGTGTATTTCCCCTCGCTGACATCCCCATCCACCAAGGGTGCTGGGGAAGAGTCTGCAGAGACAAAAAGAAAAAAAAAAGAGGAATTCTTCTGTTCCCAAGAGAGAGCCTGCCTCAGCTGGCTGGAAGTTTCATCTCCCCTGGGTTCCCAAACATGCCTTTGATTTTTTCAACGTTTATTTATTTTTGGGACAGAGAGAGACAGAGCATGAACGGGGGAGGGGCAGAGAGAGAGGGAGACAGAGAATCGGAAACAGGCTCCAGGCTCTGAGCCATCGGCCCGGAGCCCGACGCGGGGCTCGAACTCACGGACCGCGAGATCGTGACCTGGCTGAAGTCGGACGCTTAACCGACTGCGCCACCCAGGCGCCCCCATGCCTTTGATTTTTAACGTGCTGCCTTTTTGTTAATTACTGTGGGAAGGAAACAGAATTTCGGATAACTGGGCAGTAGCCGCATTTTTTACAGCAAAACAGATAGAGTCTACGAGTAGCACCTATGATAAACACTGGAGAGGACAGCCCATTAATTTTCAGCAGCAAGGGGGCATGATAGCCGCATCTCTTCTCCTTAAGGAAATTTTCACTTCTTGATTCCTTTTCTATTGATTCGGATGTCAAAAAGCGAGGCGGCTGTGCATACCTGTCCCTCCAGAGAGCGCCTGGGGGCCCCAGGATCATCTAGATGGTGGGGTTTGTTACAGCTGGAGCCGCCCAGCTCATTACTGACTCTATGTAGCATCACTGCCCTCACACACTGCCCTCTTCTCGGACCATCTCCGTAGTGAATCTTGGGTAACAAGTGTTACAGATGTAGCCAATTAAAACCACGCCTTATTTATTAACTCAATTCGGTAGCTTAGGCTTAGCTGAGCTCTCTGCCCTAGGTCTCACAAGGCTGAAAACAAGATGTGGGTTGGGCTGGGCTGGGCTCTGAGGAAGGAAAGATTTCCAAGTTCGTTGAGGTTGCTGCCAACATTCAGCTCCGTGCAGCCGGAAAGCTAAAGTTCCCATTACCTTGCTGGCTGTCCGTTAGGGGTCACTCTGAGCGCCTAGACTCTACTCTGGTCCTTGCACATGATCCCCTCCATCTTCCAGCTTGCAAAGGTTCATCAAACCCTTCTTATGGTTTCTGTTTCTCTGACTTCCCCTTTTGCTATCAGCCAGGTAAAACTCTCTGCTTTTAAGGGGCTTGGTCCATCCAGATTGTCTCCCTTTTGATTAACTCTAAATCAACTGATTAGTAACCTTAATGACACCTGCAAAATCCCTTCCCATCCCGTCCCACCCCCACCCCCCCATAATCAGGGCATGGAATCTTGTCTTATTCCCAGACCCTGGAGTAAGGACAGGAAGTGGTGGGGGGGGGGGGACCTTTTACAATTCTTAACACAAGGGTCTCAGAATACATGCAAGGAGGAGGTAGAAGGATCTCACCTGTGCACCTCTGGCCACCATCCCCCCTCCCCACCTTGGCCAGACAAACCCTGACCTGGCCTCCTGACCTGCTGATGGCTGTGGACCTAGCTGGGCACCATGATCCTAGTTTGGGCATCTCACATACACAGTGACAGGAGCTGAATATGTCCCAGACCACAGATGATCACTTCTACAAATCCAGAGTTTACCTTACCCACACACCCATCAGACACACTCGGACATTTCTCTCTCTTAAATTGAGACAGGCTGGTCAATGGTCTTTCAGCTTTCAAGGATGCCCATCTCAGGGCCACCTGGCTGGCTTAGTCAGTAGAGCCCATGACTCTTCATCTCAGGGTTGTGAGTTCGAGCACCACATTGGGCATGAAAGTCACTTGAAAAAAAAATTTTTTTTAATTTTTAAATGTCCATTTCTCGGGGCGCCTGGGTGGCGCAGTCGGTTAAGCGTCCGACTTCAGCCAGCTCACGATCTCGCGGTCCGGGAGTTCGAGCCCCACGTCGGGCTCTGGGCTGATGGCTCGGAGCCTGGAGCCTGTTTCCGATTCTGTGTCTCCCTCTCTCTCTGCCCCTCCCCCGTTCATGCTCTGTCTCTCTCTGTCCCAAAAATAAATAAAAAACGTTGAAAAAAAATAAGTAAATAAATAAATGTCCATTTCTCCTCCCCAGCCACATACCCTTGGGTGTGCGCTTGGACCTGCCTTGGAATGGGGCCCTTGCTTAATAGTAAAACTTTTCCTAGGTTTTTTGGCTTGTGTGTTTCTGAGCAGAGGTCTCCATGCATCCCGACCTGATACCCTTTTTCCCCGTGTCATGTTTTCTATCCTGCACCAGGGTTCCATCCCTTCTCCTCTCTTCTGCACCTGTGCAAAGTCTTTCCTCTCCCTCCATTTGAAGGTAAGGGCATCTCCCACCCCCCCCCGCCCCCCCCCGCCAGATGCCTCTATTTCTTTTTCTCACCACAGGCCTCGCTCGCTCTATCCCAGGCACCTGGTGGCAGCTGTGTGTTCACGGAAGAAATGAGTGAGTGAATGAATGAATTGGCGGATGCTTTTCTAATCGTACACTATCGGTACCGTGGGGCTGCTGTTCGGTTATCGGATCATTCGTTTTTTTCATCGCTCGTCCCTGGGAATACAAAGATGAATAGATAAGCGTCTGCTCCTGGGCTACTGACGAACTGGTGCTCAGGGGAGTCTCTGGAACATTCCCCTTAGGGATAGCTCTGGCAGCCCAAAGGCGTCTATAAATTCAACATCTAGGAGTACAGGCTACTGTCAAATGTAATCGTTAAGACGCCAGGTCTGCCATTCCAAGAGCGATAGGATTCCTTTCTTTTGTGAAATACAGCATTCTCATTGTTTTTCACTAAAAGAGACACTTTAAATTTGCTTCCCACCAGGTTTGGAGCTGGTGCCTAATGTGGCTGAAAATGTTATTGAGCCCAGGGAGGAAATCCAATGCCCGGGGGCTGCCCGGCTGAATGGCAGTCTTGTTTCCAAGGGCATTCTCCTTTGTCTGCCTAGGCTCTCGAATGACATGTTTGGACACAAAGCCTCTTAGGTAGAAATGACTACATTTGCAGGCGTTCTAATTTGGAGTGAGGTTTATTTTTCCAAAGTCTTGTTGCAAGATGAAGCGTCAGCGACATTTTACAGCTGAGTGGCAATTCTCATTTGGAAATAGGTTTTATTATGATATTTATTAGCGTTCTTGGTTTTTTTTTTTTATTTTTTTGCTTTTTTTGTTTTTTTGGTTTTTTTGTTGTTGTTGTTGTTTTTGAAGTTTTCTCTTTGAAAGACAAGCATCCTGCCTTGAAATTTTCCAGGGAGGCTTTCACTTTCTTTCCGTCGAGGTCATTTTCTTAACCTCT